CTAGGGCTGTGAATGTTTTCAGGGTGGGGGGGAGGGAGATGGAGCCTCCTGCTTCAGGGGGAAGGGTGGGCAGGGCCTCCCACTTGGCCTCTGGGTTCAGTGGTATTTTATACTTGTGCTCTCCCGACAGGGCTGGGAAAGGTTGTTGGGGGGGGAGGGAGAAGGTGGGCTTGCTGTGGATACTGGCATATCCTCTCCCAGCTCTAGGAAAAGGGCTCCTAACAGTGTAACTTATTGTGTTCCCCACATATTTATTTGTTGTAAATATTTGAGTATTTTTATATTGACAAATAAAATGGAGAAAATGAAACTTAACTCTGGTGTGCAGAAGTTTTGACTAAAACCTATCTATCCAGAGGGAACCAACCATCTTTTGGGCTGGGCCCATTCATGGTCTTAATGCCTGTCTGTGCCCCCTCCCTGGAGGCACCAGCTGAGACTCAAGCGTTTTCCCACAGTGGTGCCTATGGGACTGGGAACCAGACCAAGGCTAAAAAGTCCTCTTGGGAGCCAGACTTGGCCTGGTGCCACGGGGAAAAGTCAACTCTTTGGGGAAAGTGGAGGAGAAGGGGTTTGTCTTCCCAGAACTCCAGGAAGAGTGAGCAACTCCCATCAAGAGCACTCAAAAATGAATCCTCAAAACTTCTCGGTTGTGTGGACAGTGTTTTTATAAAGATGGTGCTCAGGACAAGCTCAATGGAAGGAGGAGCTACTTGTAGCTTTCTGTCCCTTCTGTGTAGGGAAAGATAGTCCCCCACTGCCACCCAGTGAGTTCCAGGCCCCGATTCTAGAGAGGGAGTAGTATAGGCCCAGATGTTACTGGGAAAAACAACAGGCCCAGCCTGGATTCATTTTTGAGTGCTCTTGATGGGAGTTGCCCGGCAAACGAATTTCAAAAAGAAAATGGGGAAAAAAATGACGTTTTAAGATGTTTTGTGCTGAATTCGATGCTGTTGTTGGCTGCAATTTGGACACGACTGGTTTAGATAAATCTAACCCGTGCATAGGGTCAGAGACCACAATAGTGACTATGTTTGAGTGTGTCCCCCTTAGCTCAGATGTCAGCCCAGCGGATGCTGTCAACCAACCAGTGCCCACCGAGGGGGCGGAGGGTTAAGCACAAAGGCAGGCCTGGTCTTTGCCCTCAGGCCACCTGCTTCACACTGGATTGTTTAGGAACGAGGGTCAGGGTGTTAAGTGGCTTTCTGGCGTCACTGCGCAGCCCAAGGACGGCCTGTGGCTGGGGTGATGCAGGGAAGAAGGGATGAGAGGAACCGTGGGCGGCGCCCAGAGTCCTTGTGCCCCGGGGAGCCCGCGAGGCCTCGGTTCTGACGAATGCGACATAAACACTGCCAGACGGGCCAAGCTGCCTGGTCCCCACACCCTACAAGGCTCGGCTGCACGAACCGTCCCGCCTCCTCCGGGGCGCGCTGCAGAACCCCGCGCCTCGGCTCCTCCTTGTGCTTAGTTAGCCTCGGGCGCCCTCCTGTGGCGGAAGAGGAGCAAGGCACGCACCATCCGGCCCCGCCTCGCTACTGTTATTGGTAGCTAAGCTAAGGTCTAAACGTCGGATTGGTCGTCTCGGGTGAGAGGGCGGGACTCGGAGGTGACTACGGACGCCGAGTGGACAGCCTGGGACGGAGGCGTGGGCACTTCGAAGGAACTAGCGCCCGGCTGCCGAGATGGCGGCGCCGCAACCGTGCGCGGATGGCTCCTGCTGCTCACACCCCGGGGCTGTGCCCGGGGCACAGCAGACGCTGGAGGAGATGGACTTCGAGAGGGGTGAGAAGGGTGAGGCGGCCGCGTGGCTGGCGGCGGGCAATTCCCAGCCCCGGGGACGTGAACCAAAGGGAGCCGCGAACCGAGTTTGGAGCTTCCGGGCCTGGTGCGGGAAGGCTGGCCGCAAAGCGTGGCAGCAAGCCCTTCGGCCACATCGTCTCGAATGCGGACGGGTAAACTGAGGCATTGGTTTCCGAACTGGGTCTGGAGACCGACCTAGCTAGGAGACAGTCTGCTCAGGTGACAGGGGAGCTAGGGACAGAATCTGCAGTTGGTTGATTGTATCCGTCTGGGAGATCAGGGGATCTGATCTCGAGTGTGAGTGTACATGTTTTAGCTATGACAGCCATCTCTAAACAGGTGACTGCGCAAGATGTAACTGCTTTGGCCCAGATTATACAGAGATCTTGCTGCCAGCAATGTTCTCTGTGCCTCGAACCCCTGGGTTACGGACTATGTTATCCCCAGGCACAGGTAGCTTGTGCAGCTGTAGCAAGGTAGGGTAGATGCTACTGATGTAAATGCATGCAGTCACACCTGACCGTTGCCATAGGAATGGTTTCTTAGCCTGCACCTTCGTCTCTGCTACTGTCATCCTTTGGGCTAGGGATTTATATCCCTTTGGGCTAGGAATATATAAGGAAACTCCCTCTTCTTCTCACACCCTCTTGCAGTGTTTTCTCCTCTATATCGGAAAATAGCAAATGAGACTATTACATTTGCTTTTTTTAAATTTAAAGATCATTTATATGCGTTTGTCAGAATTATGTCTGTATACCACAGGTGCCTGGTGCCCTTGGAGGCCAGAAAAGGGCATCAGATTCCTTAGAATTGCAGTTACAGATGGTTGTGAGCTTAGTGCTGGGAACCGACCCAGGTCCTCTGCAGAGTGGCCAGTGCTTTTAACTGCTGAGCCATCCATCTCTCCAGCCCCTCCTATTGCTTTTAGTTCCCAAAACCGAGTTGTCTATTGTGACCTACAAAGCTCTGTTTCTGTACCCTCATCATAGTTCTCATCCTTGCAGTGGTCCTCTTTGGGTTTCTCAAATATGCAAGACCTTTGCCTGATTGCCACCATTTGTTTTGCTTGCTAGCCAGTCTTTCTGCAAACTTCAGGCTAACTGAGGCTTTTCCTCCAGCTCTCAGTTCTATGACACCTCTTCAGAGAAACCTTCCTAATGCCTTAGAATCCTCACCTGGGGACAGTTATACCCAGTAAAGGGCTAGTGACGTTTTGGATGTCATAGCTATTCGGACATGCACAGGCTAGTTCTCCACAAGAGAAGAGGACCTGGCTCAACATGTCAGCCCTGTATCTGTTGAGAAAGAAACCTTGTCATGTGCAAAGCACAGGTTACTCTGTTACATTAGCACTTTGCTCTCATTATAGCAGTTTGGACTGACTCAGAGGCTGAGGTAGGAGGGTTACAAGTTCATAGCCAGGCAGAGCAGGGAAACATAGTGCAACACTTGGTCTCAAAAAGATAAAAATGAGAAAGAAATAGTTTGTGTATCAACTGCTGCTATTTTGTTTATTTTATTTCCCATGTGATATAGATGCTCACCTGTTGTGTGAATGTTTTGTTGTTGTTTTGGAGACAGGGTTTCTCCGTGGCTTTGGAGGCTGTCCTAGAACTAGCTCTTGCAGTCTTGTAGTCTCAAACTCACAGAGATCTGCTTGCCTCTGCCTCCCGGGTGCTGGGATTAAAGGCATGTGTCACCACCACCCGGCTGAATGTTTTCTGTAAATCACGTTTTTTTAGTTTTTAATTCAGTGTGTGTGTGTTCTGTTTTGTCAGTCTGTCCATCTCCCCACCCCCATCCTCACCTCCCCCATCCTCACCCTCCCCATCCTCACCCTCCAGACAGGGTCTCACTATATAGTGCTGACTGTCCTGGAACTCATTATGTAGACTAGACTGGGCTTGAACTCAGAGGGTCACCTGCCTCTGCCTCCTTAGTGTTGGGATTAAAGGTGTGCACCACCATTGTCTATTAACTGATGGGGCATCTCTCCGATCACTGGTTTAAATATATGTATTTATTTAATGTGTGTGAATGTTTTGCCTATGTGTACATATGCATCAACTATGTGCTTGGTCAGAAGAGGGTATTGGATCCCGTAAAATGGGAGTTACAGGTGGTTGTGGGTGCTAGGAATCAAACCCAGGTCCTCTAGAAGAGCAACAAATTCTGAACCATCTTTTAGCGCTGGTGTTTTGAGACAGGACCTCACTATATAGCTCTAGCTGCCCTGGAACTATGTAGACCAGCCTGGCCTTGAACTTACAGAGATCTACCTGCCTCCATCTCCCAAGTGCTGGGACTAAAGGCTACCATGCCCAGCTTGCTTTTTTTTTTTTTTTTTTTTTTGTTTTTTT